CGTGACGACACTGAAAGCGGCTGTGGGGGAGACTACGATCACCCTTACCACCTGAACAAAGGGAGTACTCCCCGGGAACTATGGCTTGTGGGAAGACCCGCGAAGGCACCATTGTTTGCGGATTTAAGGACATTTCGGTATAACCCTGATGGCTGATACGGTGTGATTTCTGATTATRTTAGTATGCAGTTTTCTTTACGTCGAAACAACACTAATTTGTCATTTTCAAAACGAAAAGGAGCATTATTATGCATTATTCTTTACGTGCGAACAACAATAATTAATTTGTCGTTTACAATTCGCAAGGTTGCAGGGTTTTTTTTTGCAGTATTCTTTACGTGTTCACCACAATTATTTTGTCATTTACAGAACGCAAAGGTGCAGCTAAAATGAAACCACTGTTTTGAGCCATAGATAGCGATTCTCTAACTCACAGTAAAATGATAACCTGAATAACTGACTTTGATTGAACAATTGTCGAGTTGTATGAAGAGTTGTAGGGGAGTTGTACTGCACTGGGGAGTGATCCGAAACCGGTCTTGCAATACCTTAGCAGATTATACTTGACTATTACAGTCTACTACACAATAGGTTGAATAGAATAGCGACCACTTATACTTGGCTTGATACATGGCTTTCCAAACTTCGCGAACCAAACCGTTCCGAAATGATCGCTAAATAACATCTTTTAGTGTGGATTGTTCGCGAATCGTAAGCTGTATGCATTGGTGTATGCATTTTTAAGTGTTTCGAGCGTTCGTAGCATAAAACTCCAAACAAATGCAAGTAAAAAACGGATAGACTTATGCTTCAGCGATAAAAAGCCCCAAAAACTGACGCCTAACGAAGAGAAAAACCTAGTGGTGATCATCTAACTGTCAATCACAGGCACATAATACTAATTTACCCTGATTGGACCGTTGGTTGTCAGGTGATCCTGTCAATCACACAATATATATTAATATTAATATACATATATAATAATAAACATAATATTTCTTGTCTTGAACAAAAAAATACTTAAATATTTAGGTGTTAAATATATCGATCAACATTTAAACTGGGATCATCTAAATTAAATTTGTTGATAGTAAAGTCTCCAAAAATATTGGTATTATCAATAAGTTAAGACTGTATGTTAGMATTAAGACTCTTCGCGACATATATTATTCACTCATTTACCCATACCTAGCATATGGTGCGTTGTCGTGGGGTAATACATATAAATCCAATCTAACTAACCTATACACGATTCAAAACAATGATAACCTC